ACCTATAAAAATGTTTGGGTCGGTAAGATTTTAAAATGATTTTGAAAGTCTCTTATGCTTGCCAAGGCTGCGTTAATTATTTATATTGTAAAAATATTATAATTTAAATGTTTTAATATATTTTAAAATGCATGTTATTTCTGTAATTGCAAAGCTGAATTTTCAGCATCATTATTCCACTCTTTTGTCACATGATCCTTAAGAAATCATTCTGATATACTGATTTGCTGCTCAAGAAACATTTCTTATTATAAATGTTAAAAGCAGGTGTGCTGCTTTAATTAATTTAGTGTGTCTTTGCTGAACAAAAGTATTAATTAAAAAAAAAATAATAATAATAAAATATTACTGACCTCAAACATTTTCAATGGTAATGTATAGATTTTAATGCACCTGCACTCCTTGCAGAGATTCGTAATTGCGATTTATTCACATTTTTGCAGCTTTCGACCTTAACAGTTTGCACACTTGCTGCTGACTGAATATACTGTACAGTGTCCTGGTTATAAGGTTATGATGCAGTAACATGATGTCACCATTAGATGACTCCATAACTCAGTATTAAACCCAGTTGTTTTTTCTTGCAGAATTGGGCTGGAGTCAGCCGTGTGACGTGTGGAGTATAGGCTGCATACTCTTTGAGTACTACCTCGGCTTCACTCTCTTCCAGGTACAAAATCTAACTCCACTACTTCCTTTTTCATGCCAGCTTTCTGAGTCATGACAGCAGATCTACACAGTCTACTAACTCTTGTTTATGTTCACTAAGCAGCTTAAGATCAGATAGACTCTGGCCAAAGGGTTACAGGCGTGCACATAAGCACACTGAAGCCAAACACCTGCCATTAACACTTTGACCTCCGATGCGCTCACTAATGCTCTCTCTTTCTCACGCGCACACAGATATCTGTACAGGAACATACAGTATGTGTTGCACCTGTATTGTGAAACCTGACAAAACACAAAACAAGTTTAAATGTATAAAATGTTTAAATGTGTATCTAAATCTGTGTGTAAGAGTCAAACTATGTCATGTTTATTCATGTAAATTTTTTATTTTTGCTTCTCAGACTCATGATAATCGGGAGCATTTAGCCATGATGGAGAGAATTTCGGGCCCTGTTCCTTCCCGTATGATTCGTAAGACTAGGTACATTTTTGACACTGATTGGAATTTTCTAAAGCCTTTTAAGTATAAGTCTAAGTCTTCTAAGTATAGTTTCCATGTCTTTCTTGCTTACATGCGCAACAGGTTGTGCGACTAAAATAATTTCTCCACCCCACAGGAAACAGAAATACTTTTATCGTGGACGTCTGGACTGGGACGAGAACTCTTCAGCAGGAAGATACGTCAGAGAAAACTGCAAACCTTTACGGGTAAGTAACAGACCGTATATATATATATATATATATTTGCTTGTTTGTAGGTGACCAAATACTTATTTTACCGAGGAATTTACCAATTAATTCTTTAAAAATCCTACAATGTGATTTTCTGGATTTTTTTTCCTCATTTTGTCTCTCATAGTTGAGGTATACCTATGATGAAAATTACAGGCCTCTCATCTTTTTTAAGTGGGAGAACTTGCACAATTGGTGGCTGACTAAATACTTTTTTGCCCCACTGTATATATATATATAAATTTGTTTTTTATGTGTATATAAATCTGGGTGGTCACATGACACATGTTCTCATACAATATTCTTTATTGCCTTCTCTCTCTCAGAGATATCTTCTATCTGAAGCTGAAGAGCATCACCAGCTGTTCGATCTGATCGAGGCCATGCTGGAGTACGAGCCAACGAAGCGTCTCACTCTGGCTGCAGCCCTGAGACATCCTTTCTTTCAGAGCACCATCAGCAGCGCTGACCAGAGCTCCGGCAAGAGCTGGGAGGGCAACCGCGACATCAGTCGGTGACAATGACATTCGTCTTCAAACAACGTCTCTGTCTTACGCCAAAAAACCCTGAGGACTCACATGCCAAGAGAGATACCATGGAGCTGAACTGACTTTGCATAAAGTTTTCTAGTAAAGAGGAGTTAAATAAAGCAGAAGTATATGATTTCTCAATCATCTTCCCATAATGTGAGAACAGCTCCGTGTGCAGCGGGAGAATGTGAGGAACTTGGGACATCTAGAAGATCCCAGTAAACTGTCATGCTTGCGTGATTGATTGGACATTTGAAGGGTTTTTGAATAAATACTCCCTTCAGATTCAGTTCTTCCAGCCAATTGTGGCTAATGATATTTTTGGACAGCCATAAGAAGAGGAAAATGTATTTGATGGGGAAAAAGCATTAACGTAACACTCCATTTGAGAAAGTAACTGACAAAACAGCATCACTGTTACAATATAGTTATTTATCGGGCAAATCTGTTTTGCGCATTTTAGCCCTTCGCTGTTAAGCGCAGATGCATCGCAACACACTGTTTGTATTCAGTTCAATTCAAACCAAGTAACAGAGCAGCAGTGTTCTGGTGATTGTGTCCCTCAGCACACATTTACTGTATTTATTTAGTGAACCGGACGTCTCATTTTGTGTCTTTGTATGGATTTGACTGTATACATTTGTAAATATGAATAAATATATGTTGTGACTAGAATAAAGGGCCTGTGATTGCTTGCTGTGAATGTGTTTTCACAGCGGCTCTCCAGGCAAAATGTTTTTACAATCACATCGTTCTTGTAATGTTGTTTCTATATTGACTATGTGTGCAGATAATATACTTTGCTGAAATGAAATTAAAATTTGGGCACTTAATTGGATGTTAGTGCAGTGCTTTAGCTAGAGTTGAATACTATGAAACTCTTCTGCACTTTATCATCCTTTGGCTTTACAACTCAATGATAAGAATCCCTCAGGAATTGTTTGAAGCTCTGAGTATTAAATCTTAAAATGTTTTTCCATGCAGTCTTAATATTTTATCTCCAATGGGTATGAGGCATGCATTTAAAGGAATTGTTTATCCAAAAATTAATTTGCATTCATCCTCAGGCCATCCACCATATAGATTTTATTTTTTAGGGAAATTTAGCATTACATCACTTGCTCACCAATGGATTCTCTGCAGTGAATGGGTGCCGTCAGAATGATTGAATGAAAACATCACAATATTCCACATGACTCCAGTCCACAGTTAATGTCTTCTGAAATGAAAAGATCTGTGTTTGAAACAGCCATCTTGTCTGAATTAGAAGATAACTATGAACAGATCAAGAACTGTTTACAAATTTTAAAAAAAAAAGAGACCCTAAAACAGTTCTGTACAAATATGTTGGTGGACTTTGATGTGAGAGGACAACAGGGAATTCATTTTTTCACTTTGTTTTGGATGAAGAGTTTGTATTTTGTCCAGAAAGTTAAAACACCTTAATGATGGATTTCCCTTCACACGATGGACTGAGTCGTTTGGATTATCGTGATGTTTTTATCAGCAGTTTTTTCAGCTCATTCTGACGGCACCCATTCACTGCAGAGGATCCATTGTTGAGCAAGTGATGTAATGCTAAAATTCTCCAAATCTGTTCCTATGAAAAAACTACTGTAACTCATCTACATCTCGGATGGCCTGAGGGTGAGTAAATCTTCAGCAAATGTTCATCATTCCTTAAAAATAATTGTAAAGATGTTGCAGTAATGCAACAATGGTAGGGATTCTAAAAATATGTAAATGTATAAAACAAAAACATGTCAAGTCTAAGATATGATGAACGATGAAAGAATGAAATAATCCAGAGACGTATTAAGAGAATTATTATTGGCCTTCTTTCATGGCCAAAAGATTTAAAGAGCACAGCTTAGTGTGTAGACAGTAAAGCTGAACTTTTCTCTCTCTAACCATCCACCCAGCTTTATTTAGAAAGCATCACTCTAGCAGACGTAATCTACTACAGTCATTTAGTCATTCCAGATCTACTGTCAAGTGAGAAACAGACTAAAACAACACATACCCAACATACAAGCTAAATACAGTATTTGCTAAAGTGCAATAAAAAACCACAATACCACCTAATGAACAGCAACAATAATGTTCACATATAATTTTTCATGGATAATATTTGCGAGGCAATGGACAAAGTGTTCATACTAGAGTCTTTATGGCCCAATAAAATGTATTAGTAGAAAATAATATAATATGACTAATTTTGTATTGTCAAATTGTGAATTAGAAACAGGTTGTCTGAGGCTGAATAGTGTAACAGCTGTTTATGTTAAAGGTAATAAATCCACTGCTTGTCTCCTCTGAGGCTGGGACTCTATAAACAGTGTTCTGTGCTTGTCTGTGCAGCCAAAGACAGAACAGTTAGCAAGTTTTGCTCAAACTTTAGCCATGGCATTAGAGCTGGTACACCGCTGTCGCTTGTGAAATCAAAATGATGGCACCATGGGTGGAAACTTACAGATTAAGGGGCGGTAATATTATAATGAGATCCTAGGGAGCGTCACCTAGGGAGCGAAATCTGACGCACTCGTTTTCTCAGACACTTGCAGAAAAAGGCTTCCCAAAACAAAGTTACTGGGTTAATCTTTTTCACATTTCCTTTGTTGGTAGATGCACTGGGGACCTGATTATAGCACTCAAAACCTGGAAAAGTCAGATTTTCATGATATGTCACCTTTAAAAATGACTTTTCGTCACATCATCCTTTCAAAGCTGACTTCATTCACATGTTCATCTCATGTTGTCTGTAAAGCTCCTCAATCTGTTTTCCCTCCTACCTTCCCATCTGTTGGGAGGAAAGATCTTACCCTTAATCTGTTAAGATCAATAATCATACAGCAGGTATTTCTCTTCAACTGTTTAAGTTGCTGTAAGTTTAAAGAAAATAGTTGGTCAGCTTCACCTTACTAAAATATTGATTTTTACACATAGTTGAGATCAAACTGATATTAGCAACATCATGACTGTGAAACTCCTGCCATCACTAATGTGATTATAAACAATTACGTCATTTGGGAATTAGCTGGGACAGATGCAGGGAGGGAGCTGGCTTTAAAAACATGGAGCCCAACAAGACTGCTGCTGGAAATCTAGAGTTTGAGCGTCAGCTTCCTTGGATCAAATGATATGCATTTGAAGAGTTTCAACAAATATCAGGTATGTCGGACCTTTATGCTAAATGTTTTTCTGTATGATCTACATGAAGAAATTAATATTGTATGTTATTTGATCATATCTACTATACTTACAATACACAACGAAATAAGTGCATTTTATGAGCGATTATCAAATGTAGTAATGTTATTTTAGTTTAATTATCTATGTTACTTAATGTTACTATTTAACTGAATTAATTAATATAATAAAAAAATAGCCTATTAAGTTAATAGGCTATTATTTATTATAGGCTATTAATTAATTCAGTGCATTCGACCTAAGGATACATTTATTTATTTGTACATTGTAAGTAGCCTGCAGTAGATACATGATTATCACATGTAAATAGCATGTTTGCACAATGAATACAGTAGGCTATAGATATATAGGGTTGGTAACATGTTTTTGAAAGAAGTCTCTCATGCTCACCAAAGTTGCATTCATTTGAATAAATACTTTATTCATAAATACTGTATTTAAATATATTGTAAATGTAAAATTCTAAAATTCTAGTTCTAAGATGTAATCTTCATACATAGAAGATATAAAGATACACACGTAAAGATATACTTAAAACATAAAAATGTCTCTTTTTTTAAATTTTGCATTGTTTACTATAAATTGATTGGTCTATCTGATTTTGTCCCTAGGTTTTAACGCAGCCTGTGCTTACATTTATTTATTAGATTGGGTCGTATGAAACTGGAGTAGCTGAAATACACTTCTTTACTGAAACATCTTCAATCTTGAACTTCAGTATCACTTTGTTTGAGAAAGACTCAAGTTCATTAAGACATGCTAAAGGAGAGATGGATGCCGTGGTGAAGAAATCCCCTGGGTGCCCCCTTCCGACAGCTGACCCCCGTCACGGGGGATAAGGATGGATTTAGCCGGAAAGGCAAAACCGTATATTTACTTCTGGACTAGAAAGTTTATTTTTGTATCTTAAGAGAACAGAGCTGATTAAGAGAATTGAGTGGGAAAATCTTCTTGAGGTAAAGAAGTAAATTATTATTATTTTTTATTTAGTAAATATTATTATTATTAATAAAAAAAAAAAGTGTCCTCTTATTATGAAAGGGTAAACTCTGGTTCACACTCCAATACAGTAGGTGGCGATAATGTACCTTAACATAGGTGCTACCCGCCATAAAACCGAAGAAGAAGAAGGCAAAACCGTCCGCAGGAAGAGCGCCCCCTGTTGCTACGGTCAGACAGCACACGACTCATCCTGGTTGAGGACTTGCCAAACGGAGCTGCACAGGGAAAGGTACAAAAACACGCTTATAAAATTATTGGACACTTATTAGCTGATCTTCATGGCTTAAATTATAATGTAATTGTTTGTATTTTGTCTGAGCAGGAAACTGAGGCAAGTCAAATTTGCGCAAAAGAACGCATAAAGAACCGCAGTGAGGGCACATTACAGAAGCCCACACCGCTTCACGAAGGTACGTTTGTACTCACTTAAAAATTATATTTGCTGAAACAACAGAATACAGTGGCTAACTTATAGTAGGCTATATGTACATTTTTCAGGCACCTGTACAGAGGGCAAACATAATAAGCAAGACCCCCACCAAAAGTGACAGCTCTCTTTTTGGCGCCTTCCAAGGACTCAGTCTCAATATGAATGTAGCACAAACCTCCATAACAACACCACCAAATGCAGATCCGTGTAAAGTCGTGTGACCAAGAAAACCGTTTCAAATGACTCTAATGATGGGACTGTTATCAGTATAATTCCTGCTTACCAAGAGGAGGTTCCTCAAGAGCGCTGCTGATTAATAGGCCTATCAGTTCAATATCTGAGGCGTTATTAGCTGATCTTCATGGCTTAAATTATAATGTAATTGTTTGTATTTTGTCTGAGCAGGAAACTGAGGCAAGTCAAATTTGCGCAAAAGAACGCATAAAGAACCGCAGTGAGGGCACATTACAGAAGCCCACACCGCTTCACGAAGGTACGTTTGTACTCACTTAAAAATTATATTTGCTGAAACAACAGAATACAGTGGCTAACTTATAGTAGGCTATATGTACATTTTTCAGGCACCTGTACAGAGGGCAAACATAATAAGCAAGACCCCCACCAAAAGTGACAGCTCTCTTTTTGGCGCCTTCCAAGGACTCAGTCTCAATATGAATGTAGCACAAACCTCCATAACAACAACACCACCAAATGCAGATCCGTGTAAAGTCGTATGACCAAGAAAACCGTTTCAAATGACTCTAATGATGGGACTGTTATCAGTATAATTCCTGCTTACCAAGAGGAGGTTCCTCAAGAGCGCTGCTGATTAATAGGCATATCAGTTCAATATCTGAGGCGAGTTATGAACTGCAGATGCTGCATTCCAGGATTATAATCTGATTATGGTGTATCATGATAAGATATCATGATTATGATAAGTCATGAGACCTCAGTGAAAAGCAGTGTTCAAAATATAATAAAAAAATTTATAATATAATTAAAAAGTCTTTAGTAGCTATTTAAAAACATGTACAAAACAAAGAAATAAATAGATCATTAATAAATATTTAATATTTTTCACTTTAAGCCCCTAACTGATATCTGAAAATAAATTTGAATGGTAAATTAGAAGAGTTTTCACTGGTGGTCTCAGGCTCATTGCACAGTATGTGTGGTTTATATTTATTGTCTCCATGTTTTTGCACCTCTTTTGTATTTTCCTTTTGAACACTCAAGTTCTCTGAGGATTTACAGTAACAACTCGACTCAAATTTGTTTCTCAGATGGCTCAAATTACACTGTAAACAACGAAACCACTTATGATTCTGGCTTTCGTTTGCGTTAAAATGTTCCAATAAAGATGATCTACATTTGATCATTTTGCAGATAATTTTACCTGAATTTTGCTACATTTTTCCAGTTACCTACTGTATATGAACACAGTGAACAAAATTGTGTTTGTCAAAACAGGCCCTGGAGCTGTGTTTACATAAAACAATTAAATGAGTGGACACACAGTACAACACTGCAGAACATGAGCCAGCACATTTGGCCGTGTTCCCCACCTCTTTGTAGAAAGCCTGTGTATAGCAAAGGCCGTGTCTTTAATTATTTCCTCTTGCTTGCCAAAGGTAAAGCATCTCACTTATACTCAGACTCAGAAACACGATACATGGCACTTTGCAGGATTGACAGTCGTCGAAACAAGATACTATACGTTGAACTCACTGAGTTTACTGATGCCCTGATGTGAGCAACGATAGGCCTGCACTACACTGTGCAAGAATAAACAATGCTGCTAGTTGTCACACTTTTTATGTTATATTTTTGTATAGCCTGATACCTTAAAGTCTTGGCTACAAAAAAATGTTCCACCATTTTTGCCCAATAAGTAAGGTACAGCTCATTTACCACAACTTTTCCTTTTATGAACCCATATCATTACACATAGACTGTATGGGGTAAGTTGTCACAATTGGAACCTGCAGTTTGACACTGATTTGAGAAACCTATTTGAAATATGAAATCTTATATTTAAAGCAAATTTTAAACAGTAAAACAATTAATGAAACCTCAAGAATGGAAAAGGTAACATCCAAAAAATATCCAACCATTGTTTGGGGTAAATTTACAGTTAAAATGAAAGTTAATTAATTTAGAAAGTTATAACAACACACGTGACAACTTACCCCAATAAAAACGTGCTCTGACCTGACATTCATGGGAATGGTCTCGTCTGAATAAATTAGTAATTTCCTTTTAATGCCCCAACAACTAGCAAAAGTATATTCAAATTTAATTTGGAGGACAGAATTCACAAAATTATTTTTTAGGAGGGTTTTGAATTACGTTTTGGAAACCAGCAAACAAAACCACTAATGAAAATGCAAAACCTTTAAAAAAAATAATTCACAAAAAGTACAAATATATTTTAAATAAATACATAAATCAGTCAAATTTAGATAAAATTTCCACACATACATTTTACAATTTTAATACAAAATTAAAAACATTGTTTAAATTATATTATATAGGTATTTTAAATAAATATATTTATACATACATAAATACATACTACATGATTCGATTAATTTACTGCTAGAAAACAAACCATTTTTTTAAATAGCATTTTTAAAAACAAAAACAAACAAATACTACATTTTTTAAAGAATTTGTTCCTTAAATATGCATACAGTGTATTTCTGCACACAGGCAGAGTGTATTTCTAAAGCTCACAGCAGCCTCAGGTAAATACACAGTGAGCCTCCAGCGTATTCCGTGTCCTCTAGCACAGGTTAGCCACGCCCATTTCCTCCCCAGCCGGGCCGCTGAGGTGTGACGCTCTCGCCCTTACCTGTTCATCCTGACAGCTTGTTGAACAGATAACACGCAGGTGTCAGCAGAGAGGGAGATAAAGACAGCGCCTGCCATCAAGAAGCCGATTATACTCAAACCTCTGTGGGTTTCATCCCGTTCTTTATGTAATAATTGACGCGTGATTTGAGGACAAGTAAACCCGCGCTAATGCTGAGGAGAATCTGCCCGCGCGCGAGATGATAAATGTGTGGAAAGTGGATACCGGAGAATAATATTGACAATAAATGCTATTCCCAGAGGAGCTTTCCAAGGGCGGATGAATTACGCAGAGAGGGACGTCTGGATTCTCCTTGGAAGTTTTGGGAGTCCGTTTGTACTGGTAAACTTACAGTAGGCCAAATAAATGGACATGTTTGGGCTTTTTGAAAACGCTAGTTGAGACCTAATGCTTTGTGTTCATACTCAAGAAAGAGTTTTAAAAGAAGGTTAAGTTTGCATTACGAGTATTTAAAGACAAGTTAACAAATACATTCATCTTAAAGAGGTGTTCAAGTCATATTTAGACCAATTCGTATTGAAAACCTGAGGTTTTGTAAACAAACCTTGGTTTCCAAATACAAAAGGATTCTGGATTTGGAAAGCATCATGTCCTCACTCTCTTCTTGAGACTCCACCTGCCAAACTAGTCATCAACCTGAACCTGCATTAACATCAGATCTGAATTATGGATGGTGATGGACAGCCTCTGGCTTCAAATGGTGACTCGAAGCTCGGCTCCAGAGGAGGCTTCTCCTTAACCAACTGGCGTTCCTCTTCAAAGACTTTACTGCGAGGAGAGCAAGCAGGCGAGGACGTGAGCCGAAGGCTGCTGTCCGTTGTGAACCACCAGGAACGCACAGACTCAGGGGCCAGTCCCACCTCAAAATCCCTTGAGGTGACCGCAGGGTTAGATGGCACAACAGCAACCACCACTGTGACCACATCCACTCCGCCTTGCCTCGACAAAGCCATGGCAGAGTCAACGGAGCCTGCAGGAGCCCCTCAGCCATCCGAATCAGAGGAAAGGGTCTTCGCTGACCAGTCCACATTTCTCCAGAGACAGTTCAGCTCCATGCTGCAGCCAGGGGTCAACAAGTTCTCTCTGCGAATGTTTGGGAGTGCGAAGGGGGTTGCAGCCGAGCAGGAACGGGTCAAGTCATTTGGGGTTTGGATTATACATCCATATAGTGACTTCAGGTGAGTGACGCAGGGGAAAGGGAAAATATAACTTGGCAGAACGTCAAACAAGGGTAGTGTTGATGTGAATGTCACAGTAGACTCTAACAATTAGTCTTACCAAGTAAATAACCAAATGTACTTGATTACAGTAGTATGGTAACAAAATGGATGCTGTTTTTAATACGCTGAATTTTTAAGTCAAACCAACAATAAAAGCAAAAATGGGTTTGCGGTTCTGACCCATTTGCCCAATTTATTATTATTTAATTTCATGTTTTGTTTTGTTTTTTTCCTTATGAGTTTCCATGTTACACTTTGTTCTTCCACTATTATTTTAGTACAATTAATATACTATTTTAGAATGTAATAATATTTGGATTTAATTTTCATGTATGTATATAAATAAGTATATTTTTAGTCATTTTGTCAATTTTCATTCGTTTTTTAATATAAAATGTCTACTTAGTTTTTAGTTTTAGTAATTTAAGTACTTCAACTTAAACTAAAATGAAAATGAGTTACTAACTTAAAATAAATGTCTTTTATATCTTTATATCTTTCTTTTTAAATTTCATGCAAGTTAACGTAATGTTTTAATGTTTTTTTGTGTTCGTTTCAGTTAACAATAACAATACTGCTCCATATACATTGAAAACATGAAATGAAGTGCATAATTGTGAATAATTTAAATGTAAATATAGAGAATTATTTGCATAGAACTTTTTATGGACTTGATACAGTGCATTATATGTTTTAATTAACATAAACTGGTAATTGTTACAATGATGGCAGACCTTAAATCATCAACTTGACATGACATGAAATTCAGCTAAAACATTTACTTTAGCCTATATGCGTAAATAATTGTAACTAAACAAGGCCATCAAATTGTCATTTTGAGTGCTCAAAATGTTTTTTTGTTGTTGTTTATTTATTTTTACGTTTAGAGTGTAGAGTATTTACAGAATTTAAACTTCTAACAATATTTTTGTATTATTATTATTTTAATTTTATCATTTTGGATGGGCCTAGCATTATGTGAACGACTTATTTCAAAAAGCAGGTACCCCTTTCTTCAGGGTAAAAATATGAATAAAAATAAATGTATTTACAAATAGTGACTGTAAAACTGAAAACACCTTGCAATTAAAGGTCACTTTAATAAATTGCTATCAATAATCATACAATGTCAACAAGCACTTACGCCACAAATCAGGTCTTTAAAGCACAACCCTTTCAATCACCACAGTAAAAAGCACAATGCAGCACAGGTCAGTTACAGCGCTTTAACTTATTGAGTT